TTGTTAGCGAAATTTGATGGTCAAATTTTTCCCATACATTCATTGGCAGTCTAATATGCATTTATGGATTTGTTAATTATTTCGACGCTTTTGGACAATGCTTGACATTTACCTTTTTTCAATAGTTTGTTGTTAAAAATCATAAGTCAGAAATGCAATGCTATCGATGCGTGGAAATATTTCTGATCGATTGGTGATAAAATTATTGAAATTGGTTTATGGGCAGCTGAGTGATTAACGTTCGAAATCTTTCATAATTTCGTTACATGTTCCATTATTAGTTTTCACAAAGTGTTCTCCCATACAGAAATCACATATCGAGTCCTACGTCAAAATGTGAATGATTTCCAGAATTTCATGCAAACAATTACGCAGAATTTCGTAAAAATCGCTCATTTTCCAAGATTTTTGAATATCGAAAAATAAAATTTTCAAATCCTAAAGCTTCAATTTTTTCGAGATTACAGACTTATACCAATTTTAGAGATCATGGACTGATCAAAATATTTCAATATTCTGCAACTTCTAAATCATCAAGATCGTTAGATCGCAGTAGGTCGCGCTTGAAAGCTGACGTGTTTTTCTTTTGCTGTGTATTTTTCGTAAGCGAATTAAACACATTTTGGCTTTAAATTTGTCAATTTGTGTGCTGAAATTAAGTTTCAACTGTTCATAAAGTTATCATTTAGTGATATATCGTGTTTTGCCTGTGTTTGCCTTGAGTGGCTCCGTTGGTCTTGAATCTAGCCTTCAAAATATACAATATACGCAGATTCAGTTCCATCGTTCGGTGTCAATTTTCATTGCCTCCCAGGGGCCCGGTTCTCCGAGTTCGGATGCTACACTTTCGGCGTGTAGCGGCGTCTATTGAGAGATCGGTCCGGTTGGTGAATTAGCCCGGAAACGTGTTGATAATGTGCCCATCGCGAGTTTTGGTGGTGATTCAGGGGCCGACGTTGCCTTGAATCAGCAAGTTTTTCGCTTGCAAAAGTGCTCGGCTTGCAGCAATATGGGAGAAATATGAAAGATGCCTCGCTGGATGCGCCCAAAACTGGACGGGTGGCAGTTGGTGGTCGCGAACTGTTCCTGGGGAAAGCACTAGACGCGAACCTCCTCCCATATGACCATGGCAGTGCAAGAAAATTTGTGTTCGTTAAAGGCAGTATTACGACAAAGGTGCATCACGAAATGAGAAGCAAAGTTTAAAGAAAATCAAAATTACGGAACCCATGGATTGGAGGATCAAATTAACATGGTGAGACCATGTCGAATCCAAATACATTTTACAATTTAATAACGGTGATGCATACATGCGGGGCTTATTGTAAGTGAAAGTAACCTCGGAATGGACGTGACTCTCCAGACATTCTGAAATGGGTTGCTGGATCTACAATAGAGCTATCACTTTCTAGCTCACGGACTAAAGCTGTCTACAATGACCATAAATACGATATTGTAGAGAGAGATCTTCCATAATAACACTGCCGGCCAGTGGGGGTTAGAGGGAATACACACACACAAACTTCTAAATCATCAAGATCTTTAACTTTAAAAAATATATTAAATCCTAGACCTAAATAATTTTCTGAACAAATTAGGACTAAAATAGGTATACAAAATATGTTAAAGATGCAAATATATTCCTGGTTATTTCTCGGTTATACTAAGTTCAAATAGACAAAAATTTCAAAAATTGAATTTGAATTGAATGTTGAATTGAAATTTCATATTGGGATAGCCGCTTCTACAGACAGGATCAGTAATATTTTTTTTGATATTGATGAAAAACTATTGGGGACAGTGGCGGTCAAAATGAAAATAACTACATATAATGCGGATGCCATCCCTATCGGCAACCGATATTGTGTGGATACTATCCGGCTACTATATGTTGATGCCTGCGTCGTCAGGTCGTGACAAGTCGCATGAGCCCCGAATTGAAGTAAAAGTGGAAAAAACGAAGGAAGCAGTTTTCGAGTCATTCATTGCGTCAATTGAAACAAGTCTTTGCTTCAAATGAAATGAACTGAAGCACTTGACGAACGAAACAAGTGATAGTCCAGTCATGTTTGAAAAGAGGAAGGTTCATCGTGACTCGATAACAAGAAACACGATGACTTACACGAAAATGATTTTGCTCGAAATGAAGCGGTTCTGCGGAGAGTTCATTTTCTTTTCTTTGTTTCGAAAATGCAGAACCCTGGTTCAAATAGACAAAAATTTCAAAAATTGAATTTGAATTGAATATTGAATTGAAATTTCATATTGGGATAGCCGCTTCTACAGACAGGATCAGTAATATTTTTTTTTTTTGATATTAATCACATTGGGGGTCAAAATGATACACCATTGGGGGTCAAAATGATAATTTGCCGCTATTGAAATTGTAGGATGGGCCAAAAATGCCATTGCCCACTAACGATGCTGGGTCATGAGGCAGAACGGTCGTTAAGCCGAATTTCGGAAAATTATTCCGAACACTTGCGAAGAACATTTGCTGATCTGAAAAATAAAATGTTAAATATTGGACTCAAAGTGCCACTAATTATTCCATCTCATATCAGGAAGAAGAAGAAGAGGCAAAACGAAAAACTACTCCAGAAATTCTAAGTCAATGTTCAGTTCATCGAATTGATTGGTGTAAGAAAAGAATGATCAGCTTTTTAAAGAATGACAAATAATGTGATTGCATATTTTGTTCATAGTGCCAAAAATCTAGAGACTAGTAAAATTTTAAAGAACTGCTCATGTTTACACGAAGGAAAATTCTTAAAAACGTTACATTTTGATTTCTTACCAAATTGCCAAACCATAATCTACGAAAAGTCAGTGTAAATTTAAATCTCTTCAATGCCGAAAAAAAATCTAATTCACATAGAATGGTGTGAGAGCAGAACGAGCAGCTTTTGAAAGAAGGAGAATGAATGAGATGGCATACTTTATTCGTGATGCCAAACTTGAAATAACTCCTCATGTTTGAAAGATGGACATTCTATTTAAATTACTTGCCAAACTGTAAAATTTTACTGGATTTATGGAATTTATTCTATTCCAGAAAAACCAAAAATCACAGTCGGAGATTTTTCAAAAAGTATTCCAAGTCCGAATAGCCTGAAAACAAAAATCCAAGTGTTGAAAATCTTATAAAAATATAATGCTTATAAAGCTCGTCAACATTTATTCAGGCCTGGATAAACTGGAAACCGTTCGACCTGACGAACATTCGGCCTGATGAAGATTCGGCTTTATGACCATTCGGCCTAATGACCTTCGGCCTGATGACGACCATTTGGCTTAATAACCATTCAGTCTAATGACCATTCGGCCTAATGGCCGGAAACCCCCCTAACTTGACGCCTATGGTAGTAATAAACGAAACACTCATTCGAGATTCAAGTTCAGAAGTGGACCCAGCACTATTATCGAAAAAAAAATGCTTTTATCTATGAAACGCTTAACGAAAAACTGTTTTTAGCGATCATTACTGAAAAGTGTCACTCTTCAACACAGTTTTCTATGATATAATGGCCTACTTTTCATAACTAAAATAACAGTGTCGATAAGTACTTCTTTTTAGCATCCAGCGCCAAAAAGTTCTACTTTTCGACACTCTTTTGAGTGCAACAAATATGTTGTATGCAGCTCGTTGCAAAATTCGATTTTTTCAACGCTCGTTGTAATTATCTACGACTCGTGTTGAACAAATCTTCTCTTTGCAATCGTGTTGCATAAATAGCTATTCCAGTGAAACAACTTTACCGAAAACGATAAAACACGTTTCAACGCACCACATCAAACGATCCAAGACCAAGGAATCAAAAATATCTCCAAATGACAAAATGACAAACGATCAACGAACCGAATGATAACGCAATGTCAGAAGTGGAAAGCAATAATGTTATTATCTTCTTCCTTTTTCATGATAAGCAGCTCGTGCGACACAGCTCACTAGGGGAGCGGTAGAAGAAAACGAGCACGTGTGTTAATGGGAATTTTTAACGTAGGATTACGTCTTTCGGCAGTATATTGGGGGTGCAATTAAAAAAAAAATCAAAATTGACCGCGTTACGAAAAGTGGTCAGGTTTTGATCACTTATGTTTCATTCAATAGCGGATGGATTTTAATACTAAGCAAACCGATCGATTGGAAATCTTTCTACGAGTCTGCTATCACCTTATCAATTTTCAAAAGGTCACCATGAAAATTACACAAATGTTCAACTGGTGCAGTGGTGATCAAAATTATGCCTTCAAAAAACTGGTTTCCCTAACACAGTCGCCGAGTTTGGATACCGAGTCTTGGAAACAACCTCTTACTTTTTTGTTATGTCTTTTCTCGATTCAGTAATATATCATTATCCTTCTACCACTCCGATCGAACTATGTTACAGTGCGAGTTTGTGATGGTAGTCGTAGCAACCGTTTTGTCTGCATCACTGGTTGCTTTATGTGTTTGGATTCGCTGTCCAAGACTTAACAAGAGAATGTATAAATCGGTTGATAAATTACAGTTTTGCATTTTCTAACATACCTAGGTAAATGCAAAACGGTCTCCAGTTTTCCGGCTGAATGATGATAAGATGTGAATGTTTTGGGTAACTTCTGAGAAGTGGTAATGATTGTTCGTCTTTTGATAAGAGTCTGTTTCTGAAATGTGTACAACTTAGTACGATTCTGACTGCTAAAAATTATGACCAATTCTTCCCAGGACATTTTTCGTTTAAGTTCCCCCCTCCAGCGAAGATAAATCTAATTTCAACCATTAGCATATTTGCTATCACCTTTGCGAAAATTTTTATCTCGCCACACGAGCCTCACCGTCTCCATATTCAACAGTTGCCATGCACATACCAAACGGAGCCATTATCGTCGTCGTCGTTTGTGCGGCAAATCGTAAATTTCCACCTGGGAACCTTTATTACAGCGTTTTCCATCAAACCACATTTAGATCATGAGCTCCAGGGTTTTTCCCGGAGCAAAATAATAAATTTAGTACCCACCTTGCTCTCTTCTTCGTATGCAAATTCCTCAACGGGTAGACACATCACGTGCCATAATTTCGTTTATTCCGGCATTAAATCAATTTCACTCGGACTCCAATCGTAACACAAATCACCCCGGGGAGCACATATTTTAGCTACAACAGTAATGCAAATTTCCTTTTTCGAACCGATATCCTGGGATCTTCAGCTTCCTCAGCACACACCAACACTCACTGCTTCAGCACAGTTCTAAAATATCATCAACAACACTGCACAGCACAATTCAATTTCCGAAATATTTCTTCCAATCCAATAGATTCAGGTGGCCCCCAGCGCTTCACAGTATCAAATTTCCTGCTCGAAAGACAACCCAACACATCACTTTTATCTTCATCATCTTCACAATAGAAACTGTGTTCCCTCTGGGATGTACACCCGGACACACGGAAAAAGTGACAGACGTTGTGCTTCCTTTCAAATGAGCTTGATTCACCCGCTTGCCGCAAAGTGCGCCCGAAGACGAGTGTCACTGTTATCTCCTTTCATCTCGATCCAAACATTACCGTCCGAATGACAATAGAGCACAATCTGAGCTCAAAATGCAATCATCCTTCGCCCGATTGCAAATGCATTCCGGATCCCGATAACGACGAATGAGCACAGAGACGAGCGTAGCTTTGATCTTCGTCGAAGACGAACGAACGAACGAACGAACGAACGAACGAACGACCGCACAAAAGAGAACCGATAGAAACAAACCGCCCGATCCGATCCGATCCAATCCGAACCGGCACGAGAACGATCAACTCACTGTTGCCCGCCGGTTGCGATCAGTCTATCGTCTTTAAGTTTCGATTAATTCCAGCACTGGATGCGACAATTCACAGGAGTGGAAAGTCGCGTGTGATTCCCGGTCGGCAGCAACTGTCGCAATACTTTAATGGGAAACGTCTGTTCGCCGCAGCATCCAGCCGTCAACTGAGCCAGGCGGCACGGTTGAGTTCAGTAAATATAGGCGACGGCAACAAGCTGGTTTCTTATCATCTGGCAGAAGGAACACCGACGAAATCAAGGGCAACCGCCAGCCGTTCGGTCCGCGTTTCTCGTCGCCGGAGATTGCATCTGGCGTGATGCGATGTGATTGCAATCAGGCAAGTCGAGTGTCAAGTTCAGATGAGACCGAGGGAGAATGAGTGGCAAATGAGAGGGAGAGAGAGAGTTTCGCGAGAAGATATGGGACTATCGAGAGAAATTGTTGTCGGTGAAAGTAAAAGGCGGAAGAGAGGTTCGAGGAAGGATTGCAGTTGGGATGGTGTTTGTTTACTTATTTTTTTTCTTCTGGAGAAGTTTGTTCAGGACCTACGGAAATTAGTGGCTGCTTGTCGGTGCGAGTGGTTGTCTCACGCAGTTGGTAGAGCACTTGATAATGGGAGACAAATTGGTGCTGAAAAGATACCAACTTCGTGATGAAGTTCAGTGAAAGTGCTTTCTATGGCTTGGAGAAGTGTAGGAAAATTTCGCTTAGTTTTTCTTAATTACTAAAGCTACAGATTTAATATTAGATAGGATAGTATAAAAGTACATATTTTTACGAAATTCTGAGAACCACTGTATCGTTTTGCTATGGAATGGCTGATATATTAGATTTTGCATGAAGGACTGCCATGATTAGACTGCCACTTTCTGTGCATGACAATGAACAGGCTGACATCATCAAGATTGATGAAGGCCCATAAAGGGAAATGGATCCGAAAGCATAGAAACTTACTGGAAACCAGCGGGAAGCACCTTTTAATGGCATACAATCCAAATGTTGAAGAATTTGTTTCGACAGCAGCAATAATTGCCAAATCTGATGATATTTGTTTTTTTTTTCAAAAATCCTTATTCGAAAGTTTAGACCTTCGAAACATTTTCGGGATGGGAGGGTGATCTGAACTAAAATCCATATAATTTTTTCTGCACTTTTGAAAAAAAATCCTAGATATCTGATAAATCTGTAGAATTCTAAGATTGATCCGTGGATCCGTAATTTATTTAAAAATCCGTAGACCTGATCACACTGTACGGTGGTCTGAAACGGCAATTTAGCAAGAACAAAAATTAATTAATGTTGCTATTAATTTTAGAGGCTTGATGACTCCGGAGAAGTTGTTTAAATTGAAATGGGCCTTTCTTTTTGTGAAAATAATGGCTGTGCATCGTCAATAAATTATGCCACACTTTTTAGGGGGAGCGGGGGGTTTGGAAACTGTGACGAGCTATACAAAAAATGTGACAAAGGGGGAGAGGGGGGGGGGGAGGGTTAAAAATGGGCCAAATTTGCGTGACATAATTAATGGACCTTCCCTTGGGGTGGTCCTGATTTTTACTTAAATCTGATACCTAACATTTTTGTTTGAAGTTGTAGGTGGTTTCATTTGTCAGCATAGTTGTATAAAACAATATTTCAAACAACTTTGCTCAAGAAACAATTTTTCTAGCTCTAAATCTGACCATACTATTTTTTTTTATTTTGATACTTTAAATTAGGGTGTCCCTAAAAAATCAGTTCATTTTTATATATTTTTTGTTTCAAATGTTTCGAAAAAATGAGCATCAGAAGAGTTAAATTAAATTTGAAATTTAATGAGTAATTTTATCCCAAAAAGCATACAGTCTTCAAATGCCAATGCCTTATGTAGTTGGATAGATATTTATTTTCTTGATACGGTATCTGAAAGGCCAAAATAAAAACGCAACATTTGAGGGAAAACTGCAACTTCAATTGAGATAATTATCTTTGAAAATATCTAAACATAACTGGAAAACTTAATGTAATTTAGAAACGTCACAACATAGCCATTTATTGTCTTGTGCAAAAATGTAGGTTATAACTACAGTCAACTCTTCATAACTGGATATTGAAGGGACCATCGAGTTGTAGAATTATTGACTTATGGAATAAACAAAATATTTTCTTTTATCGTTAATAAGAAAATCGTCAAGAATTATATCGAAATACTCAAGTAACCATTTATGGATGTTCTGAGCAGTTCATTTATAAAATTAAGCCGACATACACAACACATGCAATGGGGCTGCCAGTTATTGGAATTTAATTTGTCAAGATATCAAAGGTTATGGTCATTTTTGGATGTGGAACTATCGGCAGGAGGGTGTTAGGCTGAAAGGTCATTAGTCAATAAGTTTGCACGAGCTTCCTTTCATAGTTATGTTTTTAAGATTTCAAACACGTTCCAGAATCTTGAAAATTTCTCCATGTCTGGAATATTTTAAAATCAAGCTACCTGAATTTTGAAGATTTTTTTTAGGGCCAGGATAATTACATTGTCTTAACATTAAATCTTAAATTTTTTAAAAATTATTTTTTTTTATATCCTAGATCTTGATTCTTTATTTTGGTCCAAATTATCGAAAAAAGATCTATGTTGGAATCATCATGATACTCTTAAAAATCTGTACAGGATTTCTTCAGAATTTTCTGAAGAATTCGCTTGAGTCATCTCAGAATATCGTCAGAGTTCATAACGAATTTTTTTTTGCGGTTATGGGAATCTGGGAAGAACTATGAAATATCCCACAATATGGGTATCTTTGGAATCGGAGTGAGATGTAGGAACCGGAAACCCATGTCTGACGCCATTTTGAAACCCAAGATGGCGGCATCCGGTTCATGAAAAACTGGAAGATACTTTCAATACCCCACAATATGGGTATTTTTGGAATCAGGGTGACGTGTAGGAACTGTAAATCTATGTTTGACGTCATCTTGAAATCCAAGATGGCGGCTTCCGGTAGCAGAAAAACTTGTGACATTCTGCCATATACTACACAAAATGGGTATTTTTGGAATCGGAGTGACGTGAAGGGACCGAAAATCGATGTCTGACTCCATTTTGAAATCCAAGATGGTGACTTCTGGTTACAGAAAAACTTGGAAATTCTGGCAAATACCACCACGTCACCCCGATTCTTAAGATACCCGTATTGTAGGTTATTTAACATTATTTTTATGTAACCGGAAGTCACCATATTGAATTTGAAAATGGCGTCATACATGGGTTTTCAGTCCTAATTAGTCACCCCGATTCCAAAAAACCCATATTGTGGGGTATTTGACAGTATTTCTCAGTGTTTCTGTAACCGGATGTCACCATCTTGGATTTCGAAATGGCGTCAGACATGGATTCTCGGTTCTCACAGGCTACTCCGATTCCAAAAATATCCATATTGTTGTGTATTAAACGGTATTTTTCTGTTTTCCTGTAACCGAAAGCCGCTATCTTGGATTAAAAAATTGCTTCACACATCGATTTCCGGTTCCTACACGTCACTTCAATTCCAAAAATACCCATATTGTGGGGTATATGACAGAATTTCCAAGTTTTTATGTAACCTGAAGCCACCATATTGGATTTCAAAATGGCGTCAGATATTGATTTCTGGTCCCTGCACATCACCCTGATTAAAAAAAACCCATATTGTGGGGGTATTTGGCAGAATTTCCAAGTTTTTCTGTAACCGGAAGTCACCATCTTGGATTTAAAAATGGCGTCAGACATCGATTTCCGGCCCCTACACGTCACTCCGATTCCAAAAATACCCATATTGTGGGGTATTTGGCAGAATTTACTAGTTTTTCTGTAACCGGAAGCCGCCATCTTGGATTTCAAAATGGCGTCAGACATCGATTTTTGGTCCCTACACGTCACTCCGATTCCAAAATACCCATATTGTGGGGGTATTTGACAATATTTTCAAAAACCTCTTTTTACGAAGTGAATCCCAAATAACGAGGTTTTTTTTTAAGCACTAATTCGATTTACGAACCCCCGTTTTGGTTCGTAAATGAAGGTTCCAGTGTATTTGTTTATAATTTGCTCCATAATACTCTTAAAAATCATCTGCAGAACACTCGTTGAAGGAAATCTACAATGCTCTTCAAATTACTAATAATTGATGCAGTATTACCTAGGAATTCCCCGGGGATTTTAGCGGAAAATTCACTTGGAGTTCGGCCTAATCGGCCTAAAGGAGGAGGCTTCTTCGCTCGCCGTGTTGTTCTTCAAGAAGCCTCCTCCTTTAGGCTGATTGCTGTCACTTGCTGCGCGGCAAAAGTGATGGAGAGGAGATGGTAAATCGTCGTCTGTTACCAATACACTGGTAACATTTCCTTGCAGTCAAATGCTACATCCAGGTGGACATAGTCAACTCAATAAAATAAAATAATTATATTAGATTAGTTATTAATAAATTAAACTAGTGGCACATTAGATTAGGAGTTAAAATTAAAGTAAAAAGAAAAGGAAACAAAAATAGGTACAAACACCCCATAAAGCCAGCTTACATCTCTGCCTACACATCAGCAGGCGAAATTGACCTGTCAGTTTATTTTGGCATATAAATATCCGGACAAGAGAGAGAGAGAGAAGGAAGAAGAGTAGATCGAGGGAGAGAGAGGGTGAAACACAAAAAGGGAGACGAGAGCTAGTTGCTGAAAAAACGAGGAGACAGTTTCCAACCACCGGAGAACACGGATCGAAAAAAAAAATTGAACGATAGAAGAAAAGTTGGTTAGGAAAAGGAAGAGGAGTGAAGAAGACTGGGACAGAACGTAGTTCGGAGTGGTTCCCCAGCGTGTGATCGATCCGCCGGAGTTTTCACGTGAAGTGGAGAGGACGAACATCTTAACCGACGTTATCGGTGCAGTGGATCC